TTCTCCCAGTTCGAAAGCGTTATTTTCAAAAATTTAATCTCGCTAAAAAAAACGATGGCAGTTTCTCAGAGGTCGCATCCGTTATCGTGAAAAATTCCAACTCTAAGCAGAACGCGTCGAAATTCAACGTTTCTGGCGTTTCTTTGCGAAGCTTGGCGCATCTCGAGTGACTTTAAGTGACACTAGTAACGATCACACATTTTGGAAAATATCATTGGGATACCAAATTTCGAATAAATCACCACCAAAGTATCTGTTACCTGATCCTCCAGAGGAAGAAGACACTGTGACGCCGGAATCGAGCATGTTTTCGCGAATGATAACGAATGGAGGAATTCGAAATTGAATTGTTTGCGTTATCGCGTGGAGCATCATTGGAAGCGAATTGCTACGGTAAAAGCTGGAAAATCGAACGCGATTTCCAATCTGGACGGATCTAAGGCTCGATTAAAATTCGAAGGTGAATGCGCATTGACAACGAAGGAAAATCGTTAAAGCTGTACAATTGTATATTTCATTCACGAACAAGCACGTTTTTCTCGACCGAGATCTGACTAACTGGGCAATGACAAATGACAAAAGACAAAAAGAACTCCTCCTGCCCGTGGCATTTTACCGCAGTCGTTTCTTTTTTTCATTTAGAACCGTAAAGTTTCCTTCGTTAGGTCCGAAGCTAGAGCTCTTGTGTTTCGGGGCACCCTGTGTACGCGTAACGTTAGTATTACACAGTGTATCGCAGATACGTCGACTAGAATGTCTCATTTTTCCGTTGTCCTATATTAGGACGAGCCACTGCCTCGCTCGAGTTCGACACAACGATGTTTTCTGCGAATAAAGACAAGACCGGTGGACAAACAAAAGGAAAATACACATAAACACATCAGAGAAAGAGAGAGAGAGAGAGAGATAGAGAAGCAAGTTTCGTGAGAAGCATAAGAAATACCAGATAGACACGTGAATAAATAAATCATTTTGCTGGTGCATGATCGTCGCAAACTGCACAAACCGGTCATTGCGTTTGTTGGCACGAATCCGATCGATATGGCGCGTGGTGCAGCGAACCCATCGAATTTAGCTGGAAGAAATTTGCCGCGTCTCTTCACACGTGTCCGTGGATATTTCAGGAATTGGACAACGTAGCGATACCATTTTTGTCGTACGATTTGTTTCTGCTAATCAACCAATCGAAAACCGTTAAAACACGGTTTCGTCCAGCTAAACTGTGGTTTTTTTGTGCAATGTGCGACGATTTGTATGAAACGATCGTCTGTTCTGTAAGGATATAATGAATGTATGTAATCGTATATGGTCGACGATTAGAGTGGAACGAATTAAAGAGACACCAAGAATGAGATTTTTAAACGCGATGAGGCGAGAGAGGCAGAGCGAGAGAGAGAGAGAGAGTGAGAGAGAAAGTGAGTAAACAAAGACTATAATGACGCACGAGTATATGATATCGCGATGCACGCTGCTTTCCTTTCGATCAGAGATATTCGCAGGACGAATAAATACGCGATGGGACGTTCGTTCAATGTTCCTCGACACTTTCGTTGCCTGTTACTCGCCTCGAAGAGCCAAACCGCAGATTTGCTCGCAAACAAAAATTTCCTGGGACTGAGATCAACGAAAAATTCATATGCTCTGTCGGCTACCGAATAAAATCGAAAACAATAACGAATTTCGAGATATCGTGTATGCTACGAATGAAAATCCTAGCGACAGTTGACACACAGTGTCTACTGCAGAGCCTAAACTGCGACAAGGTTTTTCATTTTATTTGGCACCCGATAGAGTACGTGTTTTCCTTTGATCGCAATTTCTATGAATCTCGGTTGGAAATGAAACGTTAATATTTATAGCAAGGTGTTCGAAATTACACAAGCCTACGAAATTCATGATTATTAAGATAAGCTCGTAAAAATGAACGTCGTAGAACACAGGCATCACGGTGAACTTTGCACTAACAACTTTAGAATGCGGTCTCCTGCCGGTGTTGATTTTGACGTCCGCAACTGTGAAACGTTTGTATATTCTTTAGTTTACTTACGTATATGTTTATATAGACCCACGTGTAAACATATACGCAACGTCCGTCGTTAACGTCCTTTACGAAGACGCCTGTGTGCGACCGCAGTTTTATCGATTCAATCTACCACGGCGATTTAAAACAGAATGGCCAGTCCGTGAGCCGTATCGAATTTCGACAAAGCGTAATGATCTTGGCGATTGATTTTCACGGTGTGACGGCGCAGCTCCTTCGATCGGGCGCAGATAGCGCAATATCAGGGATATACACACCGTGTGTTGTACCGTAACGCTGTGGTTGTTCCGCTTGCAGTTTGCCTATGGCTTTCGCCTGTACTTTTTTACCGTGAAAGGGATCGGGAACGTGTTTACGCACGGTCGCGGGCTTTTAGTATCGCTTTCATATCGAGCCGAGAGATAAATCGCCAGACTGCGGAGGTTTCGACATGTTCTCCCAAGCCACGAGCCCGCGAAATTATATCGTCTATCTTGTTTTCTTCGGGAATCGTTTCACTGGATTGTAAATAAAACGGCTACACCGTCTAAATTCTATCGGGATTTTGTACCGCATGATTTTCACAACGTGTTTTCTACGTCACGAAGCTCCGCAGTCTTCTACGAGACGAGAATGCGTGCGAGCGGTCGAGAGAATGAATGAGAGAGATTATTCCTGTTTGGCAATGGGGAAGCGGTTGTTAAAGTAGCCTTTCGTCGTGAACCGGTGAAGCGAACGATCTGTAGAACCTTGTGAAAAGAAACGGAAATCGAGAACTCGGAGACGGGGCTGTTTAGTCTTGATTTTGCGAAGAGATGGCGGGGCACGCGCCGAAACGATCACGATGGCCAGAACTCTCGCGGGCACGGCGCACGACTATATGAGACGATGATTGTTCCTCGAAGACGACACAGAGACGGAGGAGGAAATACGGTCCCGCGTCGTTTTAAGATCGCGCATTTACGTTGAGCATTTCATCGAATCGAGTCGAGCATTGATCGCAGTCAAAGAACGGGAGAGAATGAGTTTTGAAGCTCGACCAACTGAGTCTGCAGCCCCACAGACGCGGAGGACCGTCCGTCGACGCGCCCTTATATATTTATGGTCCCTCGCAGACTTTCGATAATATAAATATTAATTAAGATTGTATATTCTCGATTTCGAAGGCGCGGATGGACGGCCAACCGTCGGGGTCGCAGACGACGGTTCGTCGTATATACGCGGAGGTTTGATCCTCCGTTGAGAAAAAGGGGTCCACCCCCCCCTCTGTGCCTCCACGGAGCGAACAGCTTCGCAGACCCCTGAGAATCTTTTGTGTATTATTTCTAACAGAATGTAATAAAGTACGGTTTAAAAAGAACCCGAACCGGTCCGTTACGGTATTCCTTCTTACTTTCCCTTCTACGATAGAGAATTACAATTTTATGCTTTGGTTAATTGAATATTGCCACCTGAAACCACTTTCGATTCAGAACGTGACAGTTGTTCAGCAAAAAATAGTTTCAGATAAGGGAATGAATCTTTGACTAGGCACCTACCTACCTTTGCATTTTCTTTAACACTTTGACTGCCACGCCAATAACCTCAAAAATTTCATGAAGTTGAAGTACTTTGTTCAATCAAATTAAGATTGAAACGCTAAGTTGTACGACAGGAATTACTTTCTCAACAATCTTACATTTTTCAGATCCTAATCAAATTTGGAAAATATGACTAAAATATGACTCAAATTTGGAAAATATAATTCTGTTTCCCTGTATCGGTGTGATGCGGCAGTCAAGGCATTAAACACTTCAGTGAATTGAAAATAATTTCAGCAGACCGAATATTTGGAGAATCAATAATATTAGGAAATGACACAGAAAAGAATCGTGACCACATGATTCATTTCAAAAGTATTGTGTTGGTAGTATGAATAATAATCACGTTATCGAATAGACCATCGCTAAGCGTTGTTATTTCGTACTATCTCTGACTAATATTGACGAGGAGTGGGATTAAAATTCGACCATATTATAGTAATGGATTTGCTAATATACTAAGTAGATTTATAAGCCTATGATGGAAAATTTTGATAACAAATTACCGAAGTTAAATTAACTTCTAAACGATGGATTCTACCGATTGATATTACAAAATTAAAAGTAATTCAATACAAATCGGTCTATGGATGGTAAAATCATAAATGTGACACTGATCATGTAACTATAATATTTGCATTGATCTTTTATTGTCGATAACAGTTTCACAAGACAGGATGGTAGACGAGAGAAAATTATCCTTCTTCGTAAATTAAAGACGTAAAATAAACTTTCTCTAAAGCATTCTTTGCAAGGAAAATCTATTAAACTATGTTTTCATTGTACTATCCGTCCAATAAATCCTAGATTCATTGAATAAACGAATTTTCTTTCCTCGATATAACGAAGTGGAAATTAATGTTTCCCATCCTTTAATTTCTGTTAAATATTATAAACTTCAGCGTAAGTTACAGACTCTTCATTGTTTATTTCAGGAAGAATCGTCCCCTTATCTATTGCGCCACCAACGAATTTATCATCCTATACATATAAACTTTCATGTTCAGTCATAATAATGATTTTTCAGACATCACCCCATTGATCAAACATCACAAACGATAAATGGATGATTGGATATTGATGATAAACTACGATTGGATATTTACTATTTCCAAAGCTGCGTGCACCGTAACAGATAAGTGTCTAGACGAGATGCGTAATTTGATAACGATCTCATATTTGACTTACGAAAAATCTCAACAACAGTCAAATCGTTTATAATATCGAAGGTCGGTCGGGTGCACAATGATACTGATTCATCTCGCGGGTCTCGCGAATGTACAGAAACCGTTCATTAGTCTCTGCGAAGATAAATCGAGAGTTAATACACAAGGAAACTAGATAGGGCAAACAGTTTTATCAGTAATATTAAAAAACGCGTCCGAGGGTTATCGTCGCGGCTTCCAGAGGCTGCCGCAGTCGGTTACGAATCGTGGGACCAGCTAAGTGATCGCTAATTTCACTTCAATTTATATTTCGCTTGCGAAATTTCATTTTAATCGGTCAGCGATTTTGTATCTCAAGGTAGATGCACCGTGTATATGACAGTGCTACAGAGACTTCAACGATATAAAACGATATATTCAGCGACATAACGCTTAAAAAATCGTTTTCTTTTGTTAGGTAGAATGAGAGAGAAATGAAATCTGCATAGAACTTCATTAAAGTTTATCGATTGCCATCGAAGGGATGAACCGGTTGTGAGGAAGTGAACGAAGATCGTTGATCGAATCGAGCAACCCTGTTACAGTGAAAATTGAATTCGATCCATCTTATATCAGAAAAAATGTCTCAGTTCGTCTGCGTGGAGGATTACGAAATATACGCGACCAAACACTTGCCACCCGCCGTGAGGGATTATTATAATTCGGGGGCGGGAGAACAGTTCAGTTTGAGATTGAACACGGAGGCTTTCAGAAAGTACGTATGCAGACACGTGAGATGGTCTAAATTAAAACTGGAATAGTCAGATAGTTGTATACGCTGATTAAAAATGAAATAAATCGTATTCATTTTTAAAAGTAGAGCAGAATAATATTAAAACAGTTAAAGTGTTTGATAATGAATATAATTAAAAATAGAGGATTGCTAACTAGTATGAAACCGTTTTCTGGAGAAAAAGTAAGTAGAACAAATAATTTACAGATATAGGATACGGCCTAGATTTTTAAAGGATGTTTCTAAACGTGACTTGAGTACCACAATTTTGGGCGAAAAAATTTCCATGCCTTTGGGAGTTGCACCGTCGGCGATGCAACGCATGGCACATCCTGATGGTGAACTTGCAAACGCAAGAGGTAAAATGCAATTTTAATACATACATACATACATACATACATACACGTGAAATGCTATATTTTCTTTTATTTTCATCCAGTGTTGTTCCGATAGACTAGGTTTGCTTTTGATTTACCGTCGATTACATTTATTAGAACTCATATAGATTTAATAAAAATGTTTAATCAATACAAACGTCTTACAAAAATAGTTCAACAAAAACGTACCGCGATCACAGTTGCATAGAATTTTCTCGTCCTTCGTTATTGTATAAATTGTCATTAAATGTACAATGAATATATAGTACAGAGGATAAGTGAAGATTGTTAAGAATGATCTATGATTTTTCTTCTCTACTATTTCTCATTACAAAATAGAATATTTTTATAAAATACTCCGTTCTTCTTTTATACAATAATCGATCGTTTATACGTTACATAATTACAAACACAAACGATATTGTATATCGGAGACCATAAACAGATTATTACATGATTCATGCTCGGTAGTGTACGCTTAAAGATGATATGTTCGCAGATATCTTCAAACTATTATCGTTTCCGAGACATATTTCGATCGTGAATGGAATTTTTGGTTTATTTGAAACAACTTTACAAAAGAATTTAGCTTAAGGTTATACAGAACTACAAGAACACTTCGTTAATCATTCGGGAAACTTAGTTAGTTGTTCCACAATTTGGCATTAAAGAAATGTATACGATCAGTTCTTACCTAGTCGTTCTACCTACATCGTAATAATCGTCTGTCGTATATAAAGAATTGAGCGTTAAAGCGAACGTTATTTTTATAAAGTAATTACTGTAATTAATGTGTTGTTTTAAATGCAGTTATATGTTTAAGGCACAACAGAGGGTTTGTACGATATTTACAATGATGTGAATTGCTTCGAAGGAAAGGTTTCATACAATGGTGTATTGCTACAATGAATACTCGTCGTGGAACAAAACAGTATGATTCCTCCAAAGGACGTTTCCTTGAGCAGAATCGTGAAAAGAGAAAATTTGAATACAGAATTTCCCTTTTTTGACTAGTTAATGTAAAGGAAGTGTGTTCGTATACACGTGTCTAAGTAAAAATGATATTGAAACAGAGACTATAAATCTATGGCAAGTAAAAAGCGGATTAATCAATGTCGTCTGGGTCCCACATTGTCCCAATTATTGATGGCCTTCATATTCACTTTCTCGATCCTCCATTTCTGTGTGGCGGATGCCGAATCACAATTGGTCACGAATACTTTCTTGCTTGCTGGGTCAGTGTCCAAACACCTGGACGAATAACCATGCATTAACCATTGTTTTTCAATATTGTAACGCCACAGTTGGTTCCCCTGGCCTCCGTGGCAAGGATACAGAGTCACGGGAGCCTTTGTGTCCCCTCTGGACACGTCGAAACATTCGGTGCGATCCTTGGGTCTGATATCTTTGTGCCAAGTCAGTCGGAATTCCTGTTCTCCATCGATCCTAAAATCGTCTTTCTTACAGATATCGACTACCACGAGTCCGTCTTTTTTTCTCCTCTTCGTATCGAGACAGAGCTCTGGCACTCCCATGTTGCGGACCTCTCCTGATGCGAAGTCATCTGGTTCTATAGGAGGATACACGTCAACCAGATCAAAGGCTATGTTGTCCATAAACCATTTGAACGATTTGCAGTGAAGTCTGCGCCTCAAATTCCGTTGCTCAGTTAGATTACCGGGATCTAACAATCTTAAATGAGGTCGCCTTTTATAGATATATTCGGCATACTCATCCATCCAAACTTCTGCAACTCTCTTGTAGTTCTTTCCTAAAAAGTCCCCTTTCATTGGATTGGGGAAAGGAGGAAATTTTCGGTAAATGTGACCTACCCTTGAACAGGGAGCGTCGTACATTTGGCCGCCGCACTGCCAAATTTTGAAGGATAATTCGTATTGCTCTCCTCCCCATATTTCTAGCTCTGGGTCATATCCACCTAATTCCCAGAAAAATTTTGCACTGATGGCAAAAAGTCCTCCTGCCATGACAGGACTTTGAAATGGCTCTGTTGGTTTGTCGAGGTTTTCCGGCAATAGTGGCAATCGTTTATAGTACAATTCCCAGTCGAAAGCTCCCCTGGCACCTTCATCTTGTGCTCTATACTCGAATGTCTCATAGGCTATCACATCGATGAATGGACACACACAAATCTTATAGTTTTGTGCAATAGGCTCTAGCAAAGGTGGCAGCCAATTGACATTGGCTTCGCTATGGGAATCTAAGAATACAAGCACTTTTGCTTTTGCTATCTTAGCCCCAGCCAACCGGCCTTTAATCAACCCAGAACGTTCTGGCAATCTTACAATCTTTACTTTAGGCAAATATTCTACAACATAATCGTTCAATGATTCCTTCAATTCTATTTTTGTACTGGCATCGTCAACCAATATGATTTCCTCGAGAAGGCTCTCCGGAGAACGATTGATCACACTCCAGCAAGTACGCATTAATGTGCTAAAGTGTTCATTATGAAAGGAGACTATCACAGAAACTGAGTCTAGATCTTTTAAGTATTTCTTTTTCTTACAATCTGCGTGCCTAATGTCAGGTATAGAGCGATTCAGGGCAATTAAATCGCTGAGCGCAGCATTAAAACCGTTCACCTGATACAGTTTTTCTTTCAACATGTCCAGAGACGGAGGAAGACTCGCAGGCTTTCCATGTTCACCCATCCCACTTCTTTTTGCATCCTCGGCAATTTTTTTGTAATCGTGCCAATCAATTTTCTTCTCTTCATCATCCTATAAAAAATAATACTACGTTAGTTAAGATTGTAGATAATATTAAAGATAAAGGAATTTCTAATTTTTCTGTAATGATATTTTGCTGTTGAGGGTAGCTACGAAAATCGTTATTGGTATAAACTGGCAACGAACGTGTTAAAGGTGTAAAAAACAGTAAACATTCTATTCAAAGTGTCATATAGAAAAATGTAAACCGTTGACAACCGCGAAAGGGACCCGCAAAAGTGAAAGTACGGTACTGAGCGTGGAATGCAGAAGGTTAAGCTATCGCTAAACCTGTTCCACCTGTGTCCACCAACCTTGTCGTTAAAATGAACAGGTACCTGATTGAGATGCTCGTTGAAACTCTGTTTGGATTCGAGAGAACTTTTCGGGCCGCCGGCATCGACGACGACGAGCGCGGCTGCCGGCGACGTAGCCTCATGGTTAGGAGACGTCCTCACGAAACGAAATATAACGACAGTCAGGAAAACAGTAAAAGCGGCCAGAAAGAAGAACTTTATCAGGCTTATCACATTTCTTCTCATCATCGTGAAACGGTCATGTCGCGTGCACGACACCCAATAAAACCCGCCACTAGCCACCGGCTGGCGAACTATTTGCTCGAAACTAACCTCATATGTACTAAAATACGGTTTATCAGCTGTTATCTGCGATTATAGAAATCGTCAGCAAATAGTTACGGATACACATGGATCTGACACGGTTGCCACGCGTCGACTGAGGATCGATCCATGGAGATCGAAGCACCTTTCAGCCAGCGAGTTGCATTCTCAACGCAGTTGAAATGCATTTTTTCATGCACTTAGTTTGCAGCACTCGACATTCGACAACGTTCACATAATATCTACATACGCATGCACAAATTAGTGCTGCTACCTACCCCCTACACTTTATCTGCGACTATTTTATTTCAATCACTGGACTACATTAGACCGATTATTTGAGGATTTATACGAATCTTAAATAGTTGGAGTTCATACTGAATTGGCAAAATTTAAATTATATAAAGTTGGTGCTATGGTGAAAAGTTTATTCGTTGTCAGCAATCTGGTCGGTAAACATTACCTTGTGATAAGATCTGTTGACATTGTAATATCTTTGCACTTATAACGCGCATTTACAAAGGGTTAGCTGAAAGTCGATTTTACGTAATTGTACGATTTATCGTTGATAAATGAATTCTAATTCTTTAATAGCATCTGATTCTGGGATTCAAATATGTAACATATTATCGAAGTAATATTTAATTGTTTCAAGATTATTGTCTTCTTTCTGACAACGGTGAAATTCTTAAAAATATCTAATTTACAGCCGCCGAAGCAGCTGGTACGATTTATACACTATCAACGATAGCAACAAGTAGCATTGAAGAAGTAGCAGAAGCGGCGCCAAAAGGAGTAAAATGGTTCCAGCTATACATATATACAGATCGTGATGTCACAAAAAATTTAGTTAAACGAGCAGAACGTGCTGGTTTCAAAGCACTTGTTCTCACTGTTGATGCACCATTATTTGGGGACAGGCGGGCTGACATTAGGAACAAATTCTCATTACCGAAACATTTGAGGTATAATACACGTTCATCTCAACGGAATCCCCGCGTTTAAGATCAGTTTAATACGTAATTACTTCGAATTATTTAATTTTTTCTAAAGATAAGAAAACGATACGAAATCTGCCCATTTACAAAGTAAAAAGATATTCTGACAGTGAGGATATATAAATGTCTACAGCAAATTCTATCCGTTTGGAAAAGCAAAATTAATGTTTATTGATCTCAAAATCTTTGCGATGATGCTGCACATTAATTTTATACGATAGGTTACCATCAATACATTTTTGCTATTTTTCCTATAAGACGCTATGTTAAATCTGGTACGAATCATCTGCTGCTGAAAATATAAAAATAGCACCATTAGATGTAGTAGCAAAAAACTCAAAATGTTCACTATTGAAGGTTCAACATTTTGTCACAGGTAACGTCACTGCCTAAAAACCACTGAAATTTAAATACAATGCCACGCAGCGACGATACGCTGAAGCTGATAGCCAAATTACCAACAGTTGATTTTGGCTAATATTTTGAGCGTTTATCCACTAATGTAATAACGTTATACGGACGTTTAAAGACAGTAGAAGATGCGTTCCAAAATTTACACGGTTTTTAACAAGAAAAGCGACACGAATCATTTGTTTCAATATTCAATATTAAAACATGAAAATCGTTCGTAACTAAATAATTATAACTCGGAGAGTCGAAAAATTATTATAGCAATGTCTTCTGGAATTTTCAATTGTAAAAGATTTAAATGCTAAAACTAAATCTTCCCCATATGCACAATTCAGAGTCGCTGAGAAACATTTAATTATGGTATAATTAATGTTTTACTTAGTTCAGGCGTTTACCGCTTGCTATATGCTGATAGTGCTTCGTGATTCATAAATGAGCTACTTTTTAAGAAACTTCGCGAAAGTCATAAATAGACATAATTATGGCAATGTATAGTATACAATCGATGCGCAGCACCATCACGGACATTTTGAGACCATTTACATTAATTTTAGTCATTACTTACTGAGTTATTTGGGTCTCACCAGGAGGGTGGAATAGGGATGAAGATAATTCTAGACCCCCACGGAGTATTCTTGCTAACTCAGGAAGACTCATTTGTTACTTGAACAAATATTCAATTTTTTTTACATTGATAACAACAAATAGTCTTTTCTAACATGAAAGGAAAAATACAAAATTTCACTGAATCTTTTGGTACTCTCAAAATATTTTTTAATTGTTAAATTGCGATGTGATAAAAAATATTCAGATATACCTAATGTCTTAATAAATATTGATGCTTCCAGATTAGGAAATTTCCAAGAAGATATGTTAAATAGCATGAATTCGACGAAAGCAGGTTCTAGTTTGAACGAGTATGTGATGAGCTTATTCGATGCATCATTATCGTGGGACGATGTTAAATGGCTACAAAGGTCAGAAGATGAGTATAGTTACTTTCTATTCTGGGAATTAAACCAAACACTGAATTAGTTGTATTTCACAGTATTACGAGCATGCCAATTGTTTTGAAGGGCATCTTGACTCCGCAAGATGCACTTCTAGCTATTGAACATGGAGTGCAAGCGATTGTCGTTTCGAACCATGGCGCTAGACAAGTTGACAGTATTCCCGCATCAGTTAGTTACTTTCTTTTAATATTTAAACGTCGATACAGTCTCTCATAATGCTAATTAATTAATTTTAGAAGTTTCCAAAAAATATTTGTGCCAGCGATAACTCATTTTACGTTCCTGAACTCATTTTCTCATCAGAATGTCACACGACTTTAATAGCTGTTTCATCCATTTCGTTTTTAAGAATGAATTGTAAAATAATGCAATTTCTAGATCGAAGTTTTGCCAGAAATCGTCAAGGCTGTAAATGGGAGAATGGAAATTTATATGGATGGCGGTGTGAGGCAAGGAATCGATATCTTTAAGGCCCTTGCTTTAGGTGCCAAAATGGTAACTTTTCAAATTACTTAACCATGTGATGAAAACAAAGATCTTCTAGTTGAATCTATTATTCTATCTTCCAGGTATTCGTCGGTAGACCAATGTTATGGGGTCTGAGTCATTCAGGCGAGGAGGGTGCGCGTAACGTTCTCGAGCTTTTTAGGAAGGAAATCGATTTGGTTTTTGCGTTGACAGGTAAATTGTCTGATAAGCGGTTCGATAAGTAAATGTAATAAATATTCTTCCTTAATTTGCAGGCTGTAGATCGGTCAAGGATGTAACTCGGGAAATGGTGAAGCACGAGTCATATTACAGCCACTTATAATTCGAAACAATATGATATTCTTAAATATTTATGATAAGCTTACCTCGTGGGCAATAATTCTTATGATGGAAAAATAAAAAGTGAGGGTGAACACAGAATATTGTATAATGGAAAAGGTTGATCAACTGGGGATAGTTGATATTTCGTATAGCTGGTAAAACGAAAACAAAGATTCACGAAGTGTACTTCACAATATTGGCGTTTTTATTGAATATCTTTTGTATATTCTTCTTTGTATACATATATGCGTGTGCGCGGGGCACACATATCACAATTTGCAGGCGTACGTACGCGCACACGCATCCAAAGTGATCCGCGTTACTCGCAAAACGGAACAGATTGACTATGACACGCAATCGGAACATGCAGCAGAGTAATCGGCCCTCTGTGTACAGTTAATACGCAAAAAATACACCGTTGGCTCTCTGATCCATTTCTCTCTTGGCAAAAAAATAAATCCATCTCTCTTTCTCTCACTCATTCTCTCTTTCTTTCTCTCTCTCTCTCTCTCTCTCTCTCTCTCTNGTGGAATAGGGATGAAGATAATTCTAGACCCCCACGGAGTATTCTTGCTAACTCAGGAAGACTCATTTGTTACTTGAACAAATATTCAATTTTTTTTACATTGATAACAACAAATAGTCTTTTCTAACATGAAAGGAAAAATACAAAATTTCACTGAATCTTTTGGTACTCTCAAAATATTTTTTAATTGTTAAATTGCGATGTGATAAAAAATATTCAGATATACCTAATGTCTTAATAAATATTGATGCTTCCAGATTAGGAAATTTCCAAGAAGATATGTTAAATAGCATGAATTCGACGAAAGCAGGTTCTAGTTTGAACGAGTATGTGATGAGCTTATTCGATGCATCATTATCGTGGGACGATGTTAAATGGCTACAAAGGTCAGAAGATGAGTATAGTTACTTTCTATTCTGGGAATTAAACCAAACACTGAATTAGTTGTATTTCACAGTATTACGAGCATGCCAATTGTTTTGAAGGGCATCTTGACTCCGCAAGATGCACTTCTAGCTATTGAACATGGAGTGCAAGCGATTGTCGTTTCGAACCATGGCGCTAGACAAGTTGACAGTATTCCCGCATCAGTTAGTTACTTTCTTTTAATATTTAAACGTCGATACAGTCTCTCATAATGCTAATTAATTAATTTTAGAAGTTTCCAAAAAATATTTGTGCCAGCGATAACTCATTTTACGTTCCTGAACTCATTTTCTCATCAGAATGTCACACGACTTTAATAGCTGTTTCATCCATTTCGTTTTTAAGAATGAATTGTAAAATAATGCAATTTCTAGATCGAAGTTTTGCCAGAAATCGTCAAGGCTGTAAATGGGAGAATGGAAATTTATATGGATGGCGGTGTGAGGCAAGGAATCGATATCTTTAAGGCCCTTGCTTTAGGTGCCAAAATGGTAACTTTTCAAATTACTTAACCATGTGATGAAAACAAAGATCTTCTAGTTGAATCTATTATTCTATCTTCCAGGTATTCGTCGGTAGACCAATGTTATGGGGTCTGAGTCATTCAGGCGAGGAGGGTGCGCGTAACGTTCTCGAGCTTTTTAGGAAGGAAATCGATTTGGTTTTTGCGTTGACAGGTAAATTGTCTGATAAGCGGTTCGATAAGTAAATGTAATAAATATTCTTCCTTAATTTGCAGGCTGTAGATCGGTCAAGGATGTAACTCGGGAAATGGTGAAGCACGAGTCATATTACAGCCACTTATAATTCGAAACAATATGATATTCTTAAATATTTATGATAAGCTTACCTCGTGGGCAATAATTCTTATGATGGAAAAATAAAAAGTGAGGGTGAACACAGAATATTGTATAATGGAAAAGGTTGATCAACTGGGGATAGTTGATATTTCGTATAGCTGGTAAAACGAAAACAAAGATTCACGAAGTGTACTTCACAATATTGGCGTTTTTATTGAATATCTTTTGTATATTCTTCTTTGTATACATATATGCGTGTGCGCGGGGCACACATATCACAATTTGCAGGCGTACGTACGCGCACACGCATCCAAAGTGATCCGCGTTACTCGCAAAACGGAACAGATTGACTATGACACGCAATCGGAACATGCAGCAGAGTAATCGGCCCTCTGTGTACAGTTAATACGCAAAAAATACACCGTTGGCTCTCTGATCCATTTCTCTCTTGGCAAAAAAATAAATCCATCTCTCTTTCTCTCACTCATTCTCTCTTTCTTTCTCTCTCTCTCTCTCTCTCTCTCTCTCTCTCTCTCTCTCTCTCTCTCTCTCTTACTCTCGTTTGCTATCTTGTCTCGCGTTTTCATTATTACTCTTAGTAACTCTGTGCCGTCATTTCACTCAGCTTTACAACGTTACAGTTAATCCTCGTTATGTATATATTTATATGTATGTATATCATTATGTATATATGTATAGTGGCCTCCTTTGCGCTACGGTCCTCTTGCTGTGTATGCACGCTGCGACGCTAAGTTATGTATAATATGTATACGCAATGTACACGTGTGTCGTATATACACACATACATACCTCCCGCATTGTGTAGTTTGTATAGAGGGTTTGTTATATGCCTTATATACATGCATACGTACATACACACCGTTTTGTTCCGTTCAAGAGCAGCGTAGCTCTCTTCTGTTTATTTATGCACGTGGTTTTTTCTGATATCAAGGGGACACGTCCACTATTATATTGTCAAGATCGCGGAGTTTATCTCCGTGGAGATATGTATCTAGTAAAATTATTCGCTCGTGTAATTTCGAGGTAACAATCTTAAAAAGTACAATGGGTAAAATGTGTAAGAAAACGTAAAATAATCTTCACAAATTGTTTTCTAGTGATAGTTTCCCCTAAAGAGGTTGTAGAATTTTGACAAAATTCATGTAGCTCAAAGATGAAAGAATTTGTTAAAGTTCTCAGTACGCAAATATCGCTTAGATTCCAGGGATTTCACGAAAGTTCATTGCGGACGTGTTCCCTTTCTTGCCTGGCTCAGTGGCTCGTCGTACGATTAATTCAACATACACGATATACAGTTGACTAATATACGATTACGATAGACACACAGTGTACTGTTGTTGTGGGTTTGTTCTTTGTTGCTCTGTGAACGCGGGAATGATCGTTGGTTTAGCTGATGCGTCCCTAGCTTGTCTTTTTTTGTCGTAGGATCCAGAGACGGGGAGATTTATATAACTTCCACGGAAGCGGCGATTTAGGCGACAGTACAATTAGTGTAAAATTTATTGGTCCAGAGAGTTGTGTGTGTGATTCGAGGGGCCCTTCGTCTCCCCTATCGCCCCGGACCCTTTCCCGATACCTTAAACGTGTTTTCGTTTTCTCTAAACCAGTGCTATCCCAATCCCAAACGTAAGTGTATTGAACTTCTGCTAGTTCTCGTCGATAGCTGCTAATTGCAACGGCAGAAATTTAGTAAAACGTTCAATCATCTCTGCGGTTTCTTTGGAGGAATATTGGCGAGGATCTTTATGCTCGTGCTGAGCAAACCAGGTCGTTATTGTTGTAATAATAGGAATTACATATTTCCATTGCACGTTGGATAGCACTGATCAAAATCTCCTATCTTCTGACATTAGATCGATTAGATTAAACTTCCTGTACGGAGGATATGTTTTTATCACTCGATAATGCTTCCCCTCAAAACATAGAACGAATGAGATGAGCTTGACATGTTTGTTTTAACTATAATGCGATGGTTTTATCATTGCAGAGGGGCCTCTCGATGTAAAAATTCGGTGATCGGAGAACAGGTTCGATCGATGCGGACTGAGACTTAATCTTAAAATCGAAGATACAATGGAGAACGTTCGCTCGAAATGATGCCGTAAAGAAGTTCTTGTTACCGCGATCTACGCGATCGGATAAAAATCATGGATAGACATCGGCTGATCGGTTGCGATTAAACTTTCACCAATAAAAGTTGATCGATGATTCTGATCGAGATGATGCGGACTGTGTAAAAATGTGCTTAGAGAATATCGTTTCAGCGGTTCGCGAAGGATAGATATTCGAGTCTTGTACGTATTTCGTGTTTGCGAGTGGGTTATACGGTAGATCTACGTGTGATTAACGCAAATTTCGGTAAACACACAATTTACTCCGTGGCACTAAACGACTCGTGCAAAGGTAAGTACTACAGAAATCATAATCGACTACGGTCAAATTGGTTTCGAACGCAAATCAACAACGGGTAAACAAGGTTCTAATTCCTCGCTAAGAAATAAACCGAACGTGTTTTCCAGCACTTTTTTTTCTCCAATAATAGGTTACTATCGTCTAAAGAATCTGTTAGCACATGTGTGTAGTCTCGACTTATTTCCAAACAAACAAATATCTTTCAGCAACCGTGAACGTGTGACGAGGAAGTAATTACTAGAAACAGAACATTAAAAAGTAACGTTGAATCGAGAGCATCAGACGTGAAAGATTGTGTTTATCTACGTTCCTACGATTTTTCGTTTCCAGTACAAGTAGCTGTCTACGTGTACAACAGACTAAAATCGAACGACATAGCGAGAATTGGATACCTTGCATTGAAACACTTCAGACCAAAGTTCTTTTCTCGCCGCTCTATCTTCGCGCTATGTCGGATCGAGGCGCAGGATCGCGGCTCGGCGATCATATCAACGACGACGACGACGACGACAACAATATCTAGCTAAACATCGAAGAACATCGAGTTTTTTTGTTTCTCAATTGGAATGCGTGTTTCAATCCCTGCGATCAGTCTGAATCTAATTGACAATGTGTATACCAAAGGTCTCCACCCCGTCGAGTATTTGTCGCTTCGTCCTCCCCGTTTGACGTCCCCGTTTGAATATGTTTGGTTTTCTCACGTTATGTTTTCGCTTGTTGCTTCGTTTAGCACGCTAACCGCCGCTAATCAAACTACGATTATTAACATACACGGTTTTGCGATTATATTAGGGTGTGTTCACGTGTGAACCTTATACTGGTTTTGCAGCAGAGATTCCTTAAGTCACCCTACTTTCCTCTATGTTTCTTATACGAACGCAGAAAGCTATATGCTTATACTTAAACGGTTCTACATTTAACAGTTAACTAACCTCAACGTGTTCAAGATAGATGAGTGAACTTCCCTATAGTCGAGGAACAATTAATGCTTTGGTAGAAAAACCTTTTCGCGTCCTGTTACTGTCAGAAATCACAGATATAGCGATGCTTATACAGGGTGTCTCGGAAACGAGGAAAATTCCACTCGATGTTTTCCAAAAAGAGTCGCGCAACTTTTCTTTGAAATAATTCCTTCGAAATTTCGAGCCCTGTTCGCGATCAAACATTGCTCTTATCGTTTTAACGATTCAAATACTTTTTCAACTTATTGCATGGTAACTCGCCTAATTAAGCGGCGCGGGTATGGTCGCCTAACTACAGGTGCTTCGAGAGATGCCGAAGAACGCCGTCGAAATTCTAAATCGTGTACTGCACGTTATTTGGAACATCCTGTACGATTCTATGTACACGCGATGAACGGTAATATTGGATCTTCGTCGATTAACCTTGGGTGATCAGAATTTTCGTTCCTCGATGAAAGCCAAAATGGTAGAGTTAGTGGATATGTCGTTCGATCGATATTCTTAAACAAGTTTACTCTCGATCTTAAGAGTTTAACGGAACGCCTCTCTTTAGAAAACAATTCCGAATGAAACTGATCCTTGAATGTATCGGTAAAATTGGATCATCTCTGACAGTAAAGGATATCGTTTCCGAAAAATTCTCGGTCATCTTCCAAACAGCTCGAGTTGCACGTCGAAAGATATCATCGATTTTTGGTGATCTTACTTGCCCGGTGAATCATTTGATGATATCTATCGTATCGTGCAATGAGCTTGTCTTCGCAGATCGTAGCTTGTCGAAGACCGTCAGGTAACGTGCAGCGTTCGAGATCGCATTTGAATTAAAATCACGATCGATCGTACAGGAAAGAGCATCGTCGTTAGTTAAGGTTAGGTATCTCTTCCCGGATTTCACGTGACACGCTTAATCTACGGCTACAGTTTTCTCTTTTTGTGGAGGCAGTTGCGTATGTTTTAGGTTTAGACGACACCTAGGGTCCTGGAAACGTCCCTAACGTTTAAGATGGAATACGCTTCGTTTAGAAGAAGAAAAAGAATCCTTCCAAGCAGTAGACAAAAGCACGGCGATAGTTACTTGGTGGTTGTTCGTTACGATATCTGTGGCTATGAAGAACCCCTACCAGTTAGAAGTTATAGTAGGTTGCTGCATACACATGTTCTAAGCACTTCATATGAAACGAAACAATCGAATTTCATCCTTCGCTGGAGTAAATGTTCTTAGAAATATTATTGAGAAAGTATAACAAGCAGAGGATAAATATATACATGTACATATATCGTGTAACGCTGTGTACAAATTCGTTTGAAAATATCCAAGTTCTATCAAAAAGCATGTTGCAACAACCTAATATAATTGCTTAAAGCAAGAAGGAGTCTTTAATTTAGTGAACCACGTATTACTAAAAACTCATTCTCCAGACATATTCTCGGATACCTCAAGTATTGTTCGATTACAGTTTTAAAAGTTGACAACGCGTGAATATACTCTGAGAATGAGATATCAGTCGGTAATTGCCTCGTTTCAAAGGGGCTCTAACTTCTATAACATTGTAGAGTTTCTGTTTACCCCTTAGAGTATGCACTATGTTTAATCATTTTGAGCATTGTACTTGTACTCAAAGTATCAAAGACTTAGCGTTGCGACGACGCATGTTTTAGATACCCTAAAATCGCGCGTACAGATCATTCGTGTTCACATTCATTTTGATATATTTCAAGTGCTCGAAACGTTTTGAAAAAATTCACAACTATGGTTTCAAGCATCCCCTACGGTTCAAGTACGAGAACACGAGCACACCTGATCCATACATGCTTTCCGAGGGTCGGTAAAAGCTTCTTTAAGCATTATAAATGATGTGATCCAAGATATGATCGTCCGAAGCAGTTAGAAGTGAACCATTACACTTTCGTAATTCCAACGCGACAATCTAATCTAGACGTTTTACTTCTTCCATCTGACAGTCGTGGAAACCGATTCAAATCCTAATACATGTACATCGAGCGAAATACAGTGAAAAAAAAACAAACAAACAAAAGGAACGTGTTTTCTCAGACACACATCATGTTCTTTTTATTTCTTTCTAATGTACATTAACACCGTGATATTCGGCACGAAGGCGAGGGTAGTGAGTCATTTTTTTAAAAACAGAAGAGAAAGAAAATTCCACGGTCAAGCACTCCGCTTTTCTTTCCTCTCTTTCTTGCATTTAATATTACGTATTGTCTTGGCTAATGTTTTTTTTTTTTTTCGTTTCATTAAGTTGAGGTTCTACGAGTTGATTGATTCGACTTTGATCGCTGTACTTCCATCCGAGAGAAAGCGCCTTCGCATAATCTAGAAGAGTATGTTGCTCACTCCATCGGTATCACAAAAGCAGAGATGGGCAAATTTAGAAAATCAAGCGATAAAAGAAAGAATAATAATGAACAGAACAACATTTTCTGCGTGAATTTACAACGAAAAGCGAAAATGAAATCTATCTACATCGATCGTTCATCGTTGGAACGAAATTCTGCCCATCTCGACGTAGAAAGTACATATTATTGAAAATCCTAAGACCACGTTATGCAAATGTGTCGTAATTCGGTGTTATCGGCATACCCGAAAACTAATCTAACAAGCTGCCTGCTGAATTTAATACGCTTTGTGCTTTTCCACCCTCTCTCTTTTTCTTATTCTGTTTGAAACCGTGCTCCATGGAGTTCTCTACTATCCAACAATGTTTCGTTTTTCGTTCATTTTGTGTGATTTTTTTTCTTCTACAAGTGCGTTTCATAACCAGTGCACGGATACTTTTGTCTCGTTCAGATCTACGATTCTCGTGATCCATCCGCCGTATCAGTCTTTCGCGCAGTTTCCGATCGTCCGCGGCACCGGAAGTGAGCGTACACTCTGAACATTTTTCCATGCAGTTACTGTTGTGCTGTGTTTTTAAGCCACCGTTTAATTCAAGAACAATCATGATCACGCGAATTCCCGATTAATGTTTTTTTTCAAGCCTTGCACTGTCAGCAGGACAAAAACCTAAAAAGAAATCGATGAGAGTTCAAAGTATTACTCATTTCTCGCCTTCTCCACGTTGAAATAAGAAAAGAAATACATATTTTTGCATGATCAAAGAGACAAAATGCTGGTAGTGCAAGGTTCAAAAAAAAAATAAGCGGCCCCAAGAAGTACGAAGATCGAAAATCGTAGAAACGATACAAGTTAGAAACTGTTTCCTAGTAAAATGGAAGGAATGGTATATTCTCTACGGTATAAAAGGGCGTTCTCTCGCGTAGAAGTGATTTTTTTCTTCATTTTCGTTTTATTCTCGATAAGTAACATCTCGTTGTGGAGCCGCTAGAAAAATCCGTCTCTCGGGCTTACGAACGGCCGATGATCTGGGCCCGAGGGGCAAAAATCAATTTATAAAATCGATTATCAAAACTCCTTTCCTAGTGACGGCTATTCTACCGTTAAACAAGTATACAATCTCTCTAGGCTATTTTTGTCTCGCTCAACGAAACGGAAATCGGTGAATGTTTTACAAAGCGGTAGAAATGGTGGGCGACACAGTCGATTGATTCTAATTTTAATGTAGGGACTATAAGCTCGTGGACAGTTCCGTGGTCTTGTGATTGGCGTTAATGTTGGATCGGCACCGTTTCTATTATCAGAGCCGAGCGAACATTATCATATGAAATAGTAATGTTTGCGTTTTCCTCTTCTTGATCGGATGAATCGTGTGAATTATTGTGTCTTCATCTTTGAGAATCACTAGATTCGAATTTGATGCATTTGTAGCATACTTTGATCGGTATAGAACTCATAGATTAATTCCTTGAGATCTATATTTGCATGAACGTCAACAGTCCAGCGATCCTAGGTTCCAGGAATATCCGAGTTAGAAAAGTTTTCTTCACTTTTGAATTTTTCATTTGTTCTTACCCTCTCCTCACTCTATTTCTATGAATACTACGTTACATGCATACCACAGTGAGGCACAGTGACGAAACAAGAACGTGTGAAGAAGAGGAATTTGCCGTGGTTGAAACAAATATGGTGGCACGCGTCGTTCTTTTGCTAGCCCGTTAATTCGGGCTGACCAAATGAACGTGAAACTTCAATAATCTTGAAGATTATTAAACGTACCAAGCTAGCCACTATGTTTGTTTCATCTACAATACATTTATATGAGAACTAAGCAGCTAACATTCCACTTTATTGTCTGTGTTCTCCAATAGTCTGATCTGCGGCGAGTCCAGAAAGTATCTATGCACATCTATTTATCTTGAACAACTATTTTCGATGTCAATAAGCTGTGAAACGATGTGTTATTCAGTGATAAATGTCTTTCTGTCTCTTTCGATAGGCTGGCGCACAAAATCTCAAGCTATTTCAAATCAGAAGTCGAAATAAAACTAGAGATATCTTTTAAAGTTCAATTTTGTCAATAATCAATATGTCATACAAAAATAAATCGGTACGTTTCGCGAGCCAGCCCAGGTTTGTTGTAGGAGAACGTACAAATACTTTTAGCAGTGGCGTGTGATTCTAAATATAAGGAGAACATGCTTTGACTCTGATTTACTCAGGATCTGACATGTAGGGTTATGCACTTGTTTCTAGCGTAGGGAAAGAAAGAGAGCGAAGCGAGGCACAGGCGTGTGTGTTCGTTGTGGTTATTCGAGACTCAAGAAGCATGTTGTTCACCATAAGAGTACGTAGGTCGCGAAAACATGTTCTTCGTAAATTTGTATGTTGCGTAGTATGTATATGCACGTGTATATATACGTGTACGCGCGCGCGCGTGTGTGTGTATGTGTTGATCACGCAATCAGAGTTGCATTTAATCGCAATTGTTTTTCTCTTTTCGTTTAAAAGATCAGTACGAAGAATAACACCTCTCTAAAGCTACTTGTTCTCAGATCCTAGATCGTTTACATCGGATCGCGATCACGCTTCCAGAGTATCGTTCAATGGTTCTCGCGCAATTTCTGTGACACAGTGTGTACGTAACCAGCGTGTGTCCTTTTTTTTCTCATCCAGCATTGTAACGTGTGTGTGACGAGCTCTGCACAAGGTGTTCCTCATTAGCGACGTTTTCCTCTCGTTTTTTTTTTTAGCGTATATAATTATGTTCCTTTAAAATTAACTTCTTTACCGTTAACACGATTGGCAAATACATATATATATTTACATTCACTATCTACAATTTATCTACACATCAACAAACGGTTAGCTTAACATTTTTTCTCTTGGTGTCGTGTGTGTGTTATTATCGTTTCTCTAGTATTTCATTTTCCTCCGACTTCGACGACGCGATTCCCCTTCCTCTCGTACGCGTAATCTTTATCATTTATCACACATTCTTGTCACCGTTTCATCGATCAATCTCGTATTCGGATCATTCACGCTTCGTTACACTCTCATGATTCTCGCGACTAGTTCGAAGCGGCGATCGACGAGTTATAATGGGCGAAAGTGAACAAAAAAGAAAAAAAAATACAAATCATTGTCGTCGATCTTTCCAATCCTCAACGACACGCGACAATTGAAATCAACATTAACGACTCGTTCAACGTAACACGTGTATGAGTGTGTTCTCGTGTATACATATATATATATATAAAAAATAAAATAAATACGACAACTTAAAATAGAAAAACAAATAGGACAATTTAAATGATAATTGATAAATTGTTATAGTCCAGTGGGTCAACGTTCTGACGTTCCGACGTTGTAACATCACATCGTCGCCATGTTATCATATCTTTCTTCGCCTCCGTCTCCAAACTCTCTCTCCCCCATTTCGTTCCAGGGAAGAATTCCTTCGAAATCACAAAATTCTCTTTTCTCGTGAACAGAGTCCCATACATCTGATTCCTCGGTCGATGATCGATCGGTAAAGTGATTTAACCAGCCGTTAGTTATGGTTAAACCCGTTAGTCGATTTAATCTCGTCTGGTAATTGTCTCTTAGAAATTCTAGTCTTCCTGTAATCTCTCCTGGGGACGATCAACCTCCACGAGACTGTCGAGTTCAAGTCAAATTAGGCTGCGGCGAGGGCGTAGTTTTGGACAACGTGTAGGAGGTGGCTGTGTCCTATATGAATGCCCAGCATTCTAGTGTTTTCACAACGAAATCCTCGCGTGGTGCCAACGGCTCATTTCCATACGTGCTGCAGGACTGTGTTCTGCCTTGATACAGATCGCCGTCCAGCCACAGTCCAAACTTGCCACTGAAAACATCATAAATGATTGATTATCTTCATGGACTAAAAGATACTACTACTGATGACAGACTGTTGATGCCCTGACTATTTTTAATTTCCAGTCCATTAACACTTTGACGGCCGGACTCACGTATCCATGAGTTCGCTCAGTTAATGGTTATCGACCGCACTCACGTGTACGTGAGTTCACGGAATCGCTAGTTACCGACTGAGTTCATATGTTCGAATAGTTGCAAAACTTCAGTTGCTTATTGTTTGTTTACTTAGTATCGATTATTACTACATCTACTATATATCTATATCTGTCTATGCATCCATCTATCTAAATTCACATATACAGGGTGTCCCACAATTATTTTAACAGCCGAAAATGAGGGGTAGCTGAGGTCATTTGAAGTAACTTTTTCCTTTGCGAAAATGCAATCCGCGGCTTCGTTTGCAAGTTATTAACGAAAAACACTGGCCAATGAGACGAATTGGCGCGAACCATATTGGTTATCGATCGGCCGAGCGGCACGTGCGTTTACCGCTGAGTTTGACAGTTGAAGGAGGGTCTGTGTGCGGCGTCCGAATCAATGAACAAGTCACGGAGCATGAACTTTTGATATTTTTTTTACCACGTGACAGTGATAATTTCAAGAAAAACGCTATTCATCCTTATTTCAGAATGTCTGAAGAATGTTTACTAAATTTTCGGTCCCGAAATAATATGTAGTTTAACCGTGACAACCGTTTTAATTTTCTCACGTGTACCGTATGAAATTTGTATGCGATATGTACAGTGAAGATTAACAATAAGCAACCCAGTCGAAGTACATAAATGATATTTGAATTTAAATAATTCCGTGTCCGAACAGAATTCAACGAACGATGCGCAAAGCTAATTTAATAAATAATAATCGCGTTAAAGGACATAAGGGATATGTTTGTTAGAGAAATATGAAGAATATTAT